ATTGCACTTGGTGATGTAAGGCTTGGATGCAGCTGCTCGGCCATGGAAACCCATTCCATGAAGCTCTCTACGCACTGTTGTTGTGCCAATCTGAAGGCCACACAAAGTTTGGAGGTCTGTAGCTATTGACTCTGCAGACAGTTGGCAACTTCTGCGCACTGTACACTTCAGCATGTGCTGACCCTGCTCTGTCATTTTACGTGGCCTACTAGTTCGTGGCTGAGTTGCTGTTGTTTCCAGTTGCTTCCACTTTGTTGTAGTACCACTAACAGTTGATCGTGGAATATTTAGTAGCAAGGATATTTCACAGATGGAGTTATTGCACACGTGGCAACCTATCACGGTACCACGCATGAATTCACAGAGCTCCTGAGTGCGACCCATTCTTTCACAAATGTTTGTAGAAGCGTCTGCATGCCTAGGTGCTTGATTTTATATACCTGTGACCATGGAGGTGATTGGAACACCTAAATCCAATGATTTGGAGGGGTGTCACAATACTCTTGGCAATATAGTGTATATGTAAAATTGCCTGCAAATGCGCACTGACATGCAAAGCTGTAAATAAGTGACTTAGACTAAAAACCTGAATGAGGTATACCTTTGTGTTATAATAGTGCATATGCGTACAATCTACACATTGTCTACAATCGGATCGTAGTGTGTGTGGCCAGCTTTAATGAATCTTCTCATGTGACAATGGTCAGAGATGGCCTCCATGGTATCAATAGCCTATTATGTAGTTAATGTAAATGAATGTTTAACACACAGTTTGCCTATATGCATTCTCTCTCTGGACATAAGTTTACCATGAAGAAAGCTGTGATCACTCAGAGCAGGAAGCCACAGCATGAGAGCAAGTGTAATGTTGTTTACCACAGAGCAGCATAAAGCCCCACTATAATACATTATGCATAATTGCTGACATTTGCACAGAAACCACAACAGTAACTCTAGTCCACATAAAGGGCTCTCTTTCACCCTCCCTGTCCTCTTCATATTCATATACAGTGTGGGTATCCCAATACACTTATTGTTCATATTGGCATACAATGTTAGTCACATGAAAGTTATATGCAACATCATGCGTTTGCAATTTCATATTGCACTTCCTGGGGTAAGAATTTAAAGACCTGCTGCACCCAAAACGGATATTTTAAACTGCATGACTGCTCGCAAGTTGCTTCATGTGTCTCGCTGTTGACGGAATATCCCCAACGAGAATTCCCAGCTCCAACCTACTCAAATTAGCCAGTACAAAGCCAAATGACAGAAGCAAAACTATCACAACAGGCTGTACAACAAAGTAACACACTTCGAATATCTCAACTCACGTGTAATTGAAAATAAGGCCCTTTTCAGGTGGGCATTCCACTTAGGTTCACCTGTCGGTTTTTCAGGTAAATCTGATCGGAAGACCAATGCTAATTATATCAGCAGCCGGATCTAAATAGGATGCGTCCACTTACATCCAACTTTCCTGACTCCATCCAGGTCTGGAAAATCAAATGGAACATAGTTCTGTTTTGTCTGACCTGATCGTGATGGATTGGAGATAAATCAGAGCCGGATTTACTCTCTCTGCTGCCCCAAGGCTAGGTTCCTCAATGTGCCCCCCTACCCACCAACTCCACTGCATACAAGTGATCTTGGCAACATCGCCGGGATCACTTGCACAAAACAAGCAGCAGCTTCCCTGCTGTACATTTAGCTCTGCTTGCCCAAAGCAGGGCTGAATGTAGAGAACTTCCCGCCGGCGCCCGGAACTACATGTCCTGGGCATTGGGAGAAAGGAATTTCACACCCCTGCTGCCCCTCTACTCCCTGCTGCCCCGAGGCTGGGCCTTGGTTGGCCTTGTGGGAAATCCGGCCCTGGGAATAATGTGATGTAAGCAAACATCTCTTGCAAGTTAAAAAAGATGCCACAATGAATACATACATTCAGAAACTGCTCCAATCAGTAGGGGATCTATTCATGGGTCCCCTGCTGATCGGAACTGACCGGCACCTGTGTGAAGGGGCCTCATATGAATAGTAGTGTCACGTAATTACTAGCCATTTCACAAAATGTTAAATGTTTTATTAATGTTGGACCTTATAGTATTACTGCAGTCCTGAAATAAAACATGTTTAAATGTTTATATAAAACAAATAAAACATTAAACAGAGGTTTTTTTTTTTTTGGAGACATGCCAAGTATTTATAGCCAGAAAACCTATTTCTACTTGCTCCTAGCAATTTATTTCATGTGTACACTGTATGGAACACAAGCTCATTTCCAGCATTTATAAGATGCTGACGCTGGGTGCCAGGGACAGCATAACTTCTGTGCGCATGTGCAGGAGTTACTCCTCTTCAGCCATTAGTCTGCCATTATTATGTCACACAGAAGAAATAGTGGGGTAGATGGCATCAGCAGGGAAGGGAGCCGTGACTGCGAGTCTGGATCTGCCATGGCAAGTGCAAAACCCCCATTGAGTGGAATTTAGTGCTGCTTTAAGGGCCAAGTTACACCTATGCACTCACGTTGCTTAAATGAGTCCACTATGTACGCATGATGTAGCGCCAATCCATTTTATTTGGGTCCTCAATGTTTGTTCACAAGGCACATAACCCAGGTGTCTACTGAGTGCCATGCGCATGCTTGGCATGTGGATGCACATTGGAGGCACTATTAGAAATGAATAGGTACACCCCAAAATGTATGCACAATTTGTGTGCGTGTAGTGTATTACAATGTGCAAGTTGTGGCACACCTGAGAACTACCAGAAAAGAAAATACTGTCTAAATACAAGAGGCATGTGTATTCTTATTGAAATCTTGGTGTGCTTTGTGTATTTCTTCCAGTGCAGTAATCCAGTGTGAAACTTTTCCTCTGTGCAGGGGCTTTGTGTATAAAGACCCATCGCTGCTGCTTTCTCTCCCTGTGCAGGGTGACTGGTCTTGTATGTGCCTGTTATGTGTGGAACTGTTGGGTCCCTCACACAGCTCTGCTCTCTGCAGATGTTTTGATGAGCACAGTTATGATATCACTGTTTGCAAAGGCCTTTGGTGGATTTATATTATTTGTGGCTTTAAATTAAAGATTTTGTACCTGGAGTTCAGCTTCAACGTTTAAGCTACTGGAGCGGGGTTTTGTTTTAAACACGTTAAAATGCACATTTTAGGTCTGAAGATTACTTGAGAATTATGGCCAAATCTTTTACCTTTTTTTGGCATTAGTAAAATGTCCTCCTGTGACCCAAAATTCCACATAGAGCAGGCTAATGCGCACTATAAGCAGACAGCACAAAGCCGCGCTACAATATTGTCGTGATCCACCCCGCTACCTGATTGACAGCTGGCTCTGCTTCTCTAGAGGCAGAACCAGCTGTGCCCAGCGCCTCCTCTGTCCGTCCCTCCAGTCAGCGCTGAAGGAACGTAGAGGGGGGATCACAACGTGCAGTGGTGACTGACAGTCACCGCTCTCTGCAGGGAGAAGATTGTGAACTAGGCGATCAGCAGTTTATGATCTATAGAGCCAATGTGTGACCGCTGTAGTGCCACATGTCGGTTCTAACTATGGGGATGTGTGTATTTCACTCTCCCCATAGTTCCCCTTTAAAACCCCCAAAACATGATGTATTTTTTTGAATGCCTATAGAACAATATGGTGGCAGTTCCTTTTTTATGTCTCTCAATCAATTTTATTAAAAAAAACATTTTTTAGTAAAAAAAACACTTAAAATTAAATTGTAGTTAAATGAAACACAATAGAATACCAGTTTAGTCGGTAAAATAGAAAATATGAGGTTGTGTTGAGCAAAGAGATAACAGATAATGTCAATCCTCAATTTTCCAGCTGCCCCACTTCTATGGCATAGCTGGCAGCCAGGACTCAAAAGTAGGGATGCACCGTAATTTCGGCCACCGAAACAAATTTTCGTCTGAAAATGGTACTATGGGCAAAATGCTAATAGAACAAAAATTTTTAGCAAATGTGGTGCATCCCTAGCTTCTCTTCTCTCTGCTGGTCGCCGGCTGCAAGCTTTGGTCTTTGTTTCCTACAAGCTTTCTCCCGCCTGTGTCGGCAGGGTCAGTGGGTACTGAAAGGGATACCGAGTCGTTTCAGCTGCCGGCGCCCAGCAACGAGGAGAGTTGTCAGGAGGCCGAGAGGGGCGGTGCGGGGTGAGAGCTTGACTCCTGTGATAGGCGGAGCAGTGAGGATGGAGAGCAGAGCACAAACACTCAGAGATCACTAAGTACTGATCACTAAGTGTTTGTAAATAACTGAGGACATAGTAAGTTTACTATGTCCCCAGTTATGAATGTACAGGAAGTGCTATGCATCACTTCCTGTTCATTTATGAATGGGGACAGTAAATATTTGCTCACGTTATGAATGTACAGAAAGCAGTTCATTACTGAGGCTTCCTGTCCATTCATGACTGAGTTGATCGTCAATATTGACTATCTCCAGATTGTGAATGAACAGGGAGCCTCTGTACTGAGAGCTTCCCAATCATTGAGTACAGGGGCTGCAGAAAATAGACTGAGGACTCTGTGTCCTCAATCTCTATTTTAAAAGGGAAACATCAGGGGTCTGTTTAGACTCTAGGACATATGAGGTATGTCTTAGGACCTCAACTGAAAAGAGATAGCCTATTAGCCATTTTCAATTTAAATTATCCTTTAGGTAGGCTTAGGCCAAAAGTCAGTCCCCTAGTGAGAAAGTGGAGTAAATCAGAGAGGCACACGAGAGATGTGCTTGAAGGCTGATAAAGGAAATAACAGCCAATCTGTGGTGCCAAATCTCATGCAGGGTCACCAAAAGAGGGCTATTTTATTGTCAAAAATGGGCTTCAAAACAGTAAACATAAAATGCCAGCTACTTTGTGTAAAAAGCTACTGTTTAAGTTTGCATTAGAGAGGCTAAACCAAGGCAATCTGTATTTGTATACATAATTTGTATTGTCACTTAACTTGCTTAAAAGGTTTACAATATCAAAAACCTACTTACCTCACCCACATGCTGCAACTGCTCAGCAATTTCTTTTGTCTGGATCCTCATAATAGGACTGTTTCTGGAAGACAAACACATACAGATAATAAGCACAGTTTGACAATTATGCCCATAGATTAAAAAAACATACACAAAAACATCACAGAACTACTACAAAGCTTTTTCTTGGCTGGATTGGGCAAAGATCTCAAGTCCAGCTGTGTCTACCTGCAGACCCTGTTGACCAAGGCTTCTTGGTGCGGGGAGGAAGAGGGTCTAATAGCAACTACGCATTTTAGAAAACCTTATCCACTTATCATTGTTCTTCCCTGCAAGATGCCACTGGATGCCCACCTCTCGGCAAGACCCATCACCCAAGGCCACCATTCATATATAGAACCGCACATGTACTCTATAAGGGTTGTCAGATTTTACTTATGTCCAATTGACATATGTGTGAGGGTGGTCTGATCATGCTTTTATGTCCATTTGGACTCGTGTGTATGAGTACATTAAAGTAGAAGTAGGTCATTTGAGGACAGTGGCCTGTCATTGTATGACAACAAATGGGTAGAGCCAGCAGTGATCTCACGGCTGACTCCTCCCATCTGTTTAAATTCAGCCGGCACATGTCAGCATTTCATTTTGCGGCGGGACTTCGTCGCGTGCAGTCGGGCTGGCGGGTATTGGGTGTTTTTTTATTTTGATGAAGCCGCGTCGGTGTGGACATCACTGGACGACGTGATTACCTTGTTGGATCATTTTTTTTCATTGTCTTGGGGGGGGGTTGTGAAAGGAATAGTCAAAAACTTTTGTTGTGTTTTTTTTTTTTCAATTAAAGGATTTTTTTCCTAAAAGTTTGGTCTCTTTATTTACATTTTATTTTAACTCTTTAGTGAATGAGTAGGGGTACAAGGGGTAGGGGTACCACTTATTCACGGGGGGCAGCATCTGAGTGCCCCCTTTATGAGGGGGAACCCCAATGCAAATAAGCCACCCTGCCCGCAGACCCCCACAACCACCCGGTCAGGGTTGTGGGGAAGAGGCCTTTGTCCACATCGGCATGGGGACAAGGTGCTTTTCCAGGGATCCCTGGAAAAGCACCCTCCTAATTACAAGTGCATGTGGCCTGGTATGGCGCGATGGGGGCACTCGCCCCCCCCCCCCCTTTTCTGCCCTGCCAGGCCAGTGTCCAATTAAGGGTCTGGCTAGGAATTTTAGGGGGGAACCTCACATTTTTTTTTCCATTTTTTGGTATCTTTTGCTATCAAATTATAATTTTGCACCCCAAAGATGCCAATTTTCACAACTTCAATCATGCCGGGCAATCAACATTTGCCGTCACACATTCCCATGGTATTTGTATAGTGACTGAGTTACCTATGTGGCTATAAATGCTGAACTGAAGAAACTGCTTAGTAGGATATGGCAAGATGATTTTTCCTCCAATGCCAAAGGCTCACAAGCTGCACTATTCACGTGCAACTTTTTGCGCAGTTACTTATTTTTCTGAGCTCCCCCCACACAGTCCTGCAGCCTCCTTGCGACCCAACCACCACAGTCTTGCAACCTCCTCAACACCACACAGACTCCTGTCCAAATCTTCCCTGACAATATTTTATATACTGTAGAAAAGCAAATAAATGTCCTAGCGGCTTCCTGGGTTTGCTCCCAAACCACACCTATGTTACTGTATATACAAGTGGACCTTTCAGCAACTAGAAGTCTGTGCGAATACATTGCTGGCATTTACAATATCCAGTAACAAAGTAAAATGCTCTACCTTTACCAGTATAAAGCAGCCCTTGAACTCCAGTCAAGTGACTTTTCCTAGCTTAAGATATCATCATCATTCTGCTGCAAGTATGAGGAAGCATTCTGTAGTCTCTTCAGAGGCATTGTCAGAGGGAGAACTGTACTCTCCATGAGAAGTGTAAGTGTAAAGCTGGCCACTGTAAGTGTAAAGTTAGCCATACATTTTACAACCATCGCACAACTTTCGTTGTAATTAAAAAAATCGTACGATCTGCCCTTCTTGGACAGGCAGATCGTACTTGCGATCATCGCAAGCCCTCCCCGTTGAGGGGAAGGGCTTCCGATGACTGCAGTGCTGAGCGGGCAGTGTGCACACCGGCCCGTTCAGCATTTGTCGTACGAGCACGGCTGGTTTTCCAACGTGCTCGTAAGACAAAAGATGTGCGACCGTACAGTAGAAACGGTCGCACGCCTTCCATACACCTG